TAACAGACAGACAAACTACCAAACTAACAGACAGACAAACTACCAAATTAACAGACAGACAAACTACCAAATTAACAGACAGACAAAACTACCAAATTAACAGACAGACAAAACTACCAAATTAACAGACAGACAAACTACCAAATTAACAGACAAACAAACAACCAAACTAACAGACAGACAAACTACCAAATTAACAGACAGACAAACTACCAAATTAACAGACAGACAAACTACCAAATTAACAGACAGACAAACTACCAAATTAACAGACAGACAAACTACCAAATTAACAGACAGACAAACTACCAAATTAACAGACAGACAAACTACCAAATTAACAGACAAACAAACTACCAAATTAACAGACAGACAAACTACCAAATTAACAGACAGACAAACTACCAAATTAACAGACAGACAAACTACCAAACTAACAGACAGACAAACTACAAAACTAACAGACAGACAAACTACCAAACTAACAGACAAACAAACTAGCACAAACACAAATACAAACACAGACAAACAGACAGACAGACAGACAGACAGACAGACAGACAGACAGACAGACAGACAGACAGACAGACAGACAGACAGACAGACAGACAGACAGACAGACAGACAGACAGACAGACAGACAGACAGACAGACAGACAGACAGACAGACTCACGCACCAATATAAAGCGATACTAATTCGTTTGGGCAAGGCTATCAGATTTTCACGTACTTTTTCTCTGGTGTTTTTCCTTGGGCTTCTAACAGCCGTCGTTTGGCTTCCTCATGGAGTTGTTCTCGTAGTTCTTGTTGATGAACTTTACGTTTATCCTCTGCAGTTAACTCTGTCTGTAAGAAAACAATGTTGAACATAAATTATTGCATTATTAGGTATACGATTTGCGAACGTGAAAAATGGAAATTTCGCGTGTAAATTTTATAAATTTCACGTGTAAATTTTACACATAAACCAAGAGCATCTGCGAAGGTTTAATAGGCAATTCAACTTTGGTTGCCATTGCAGAATGAGTATCATTGTTGATTATGTTGAAAAAATAAAAATGGCGGCAGTGTAAACACGGAATGATAGCTTATACTTGTAAATATTGAAATCTTCAAAAGTTAGTTCTATTGAGTAAGATGCAGAAAATCGTGAAAAGTAAATACATACCCTCGTTCTGTTTTCCAATAATTTAGATTTTCCTTCAGCACTTCGTAATAGATCTTCGTCCTTAATCGTAAGAGTCACAAAGTGTCAGAGATATAATATATAATTATATAGGAAGGAATGTTCGGTATGACTGAAAAACTCATACCACTAAACCGATATTGGTTCAATACCGATATTTTCGGTATATAACATATCAGTATACCGAACACTCCTATATGTATAGGTATAATCTATTTTACATGCACTACAGTTGGAAACTTTCAAGGGAACAACAAAAGTAGTTCAACCATTAAAGCCCTGGTCAAATGACAATGAGAGTTTATAAGAGTTGGCAAGCGAAAGTTTGCATGAGTTTCGTCAACTCTCATTGAAACTCTTAATATGAATCCTGGTTTCGCATCTAACATCTGAAAAAGTATGGTTCCAGCTTTGTTACACAATTACTCAATTCAGTTATCATTCAAAGGCTTTAAAATTGGGGGAGGGGCGGTTGCCCCTACCCCACCTACCCCCAAAACTTATTTTATTTATATTGGGCAAAAAAAAAATATGTGGGTGGGTTTCCGGTTTCCCGACTCGACCTAGCTTTTGGACGCCGAAATCCCGACCCTAAACTACTTTATTGGATCATGCTTGTAAGTGTTTCCACTCAGAGGAAAACGTTTGTGGAAAATGGAAATTTGAGGCAATATTAGGCAAATCTATCTCTGGATGTGGAAGCACTGACTAAACCTAATTTGTTAGGAAAATTAAAAAAAAAATGTTTAAAAAAAAGAACTTAAAACCGACCCACCCTACCTAAGTTTTTACAAGAAGAAATAGGAAACCCACATATTTTTTTTGGCTTTGGATACTCAAATATAAAAATAACATACGTCTGCATTATCCGAGTCCTCCTGTTCGTCTTCATCCTAAACAAGACAGAATATATTTTAATTTTACCATAAAGCCTGGTTCAAACTAGCAATTTTGTCGGCAATTCTGTGTTTCTGACGGATGCAAATGAGTGAACTCGCACACGAAAGTATAGAGTCGCTTTTCAGAAGTACACAATTCTAAGTCTTTTGCACGTCATTCGTTCAATCACATTTGCCAGAAGGAGAAAAATCCCCGACAGAATTGCTAGTGTGAATGTTTTCGCATCACCATTAGTGAGCTTAAGCAAGTGACGTTTTTGACAACACGGACGTCGACCGGAAGTAAAGTCGACGTTTTTCACCAATCACAGCCCTTGACCCAGTCTTCTGACGTTACTCGTGCCGTTCGTGTTGTCAAAAACGTTGTTTGCTTATAAGCTCACTATTCACCGTCATACCTTTAAGAATATTCCAACATTATTGATCTTCTTCTTAGCTGGAGTCAGCAATGTTGCAGCAGTGTTCTACGTTTCATAAAGAAATAGTATTTTACTCGTTTTGTTTTTAAGCCATTTAACACAATCGCAGTCCGCGCTTTATATAATAATAATAATAATATTGCCTGCTCGTGTTTTAAATAGTGCTTTTTTCGCAAGTTGTCGCCTGGAGATGGATTTTAACAAACAAGGTTCTATAGGTGTAAATTGCAGTAAGACATTTAGATTTACAGTAAAGTTATCGTTTTCATAACGCGGTGTAACTGTGGTCTAAAAAGTTTTATTCAAGGTTAAACCAAAAATCTTTCAGACAACAAGAATTCTCCCAATTCTCCGACATCAATTCTCTATCTCGCTGTCTAAAGCGCTTTGGTAAAATGGTCACAAAATTGAAATTTCACGTTCTTTAGACAGTTCAAATTGAAATTTCACAGAATTGAAATTTCATGTTCTTTAGAAATTTTCATGTTCTTTATAGATTGTTAACTCGTGAGTTAACTGGCATTTGCTACTTGCAGAAAAGGCTCATCTTTTCATGCTTTGAAAACTCAGTAAATGCTCGCAAAACATTAAAAGTACAGGAAATAACTAAAAACACAGAAAAGGAATATAAAACTATTTTAGAACATTTTACATCAAGCCTTCAAGTGGCAATGCGCCCAGATGCGCCCTATACTTTGCTATTTTACTCTGTCTAACGCCAGACGATCTTACTCGTCAAGAGAAGAACGCTGACGCCCAATGGTGCTAACTTGACCCAGGGTCTGAAATTTGCGGTATCCCGATATCCACGGGATACTGAAATTTGGTTTTGGATACTAGCTAAGTTTATTTTACTTGTATCCCGATGGGATACCACATTTTTTTAAAAATCGGGATAGCAGTTAATGTTTTAGTAGTCTCCCAACATCTTGGTTCATTAATTTAAATAGTGCTGTAACACAAGTCTAGCATTCGTCTTAACGTTGTATTTATGCATGTAGTCCACTCATGGTTGAATTCGCGAGTCGCCATTTTGAATAGTGTTTCCACATTGAAACAACTGTCAAGAAAAGTCAAGAAGATTGTAAGGAAATTTGAAGGTCGATAGTTCGTCATGAACTAAAATTTATAATTAAATAACCCTGTTAACTGTTAAGAAATTGAACATTTGAACTGCATAAGTTCCTTTTAGGATTCTAGTATATTAAACATAAAATGCGATGGATGAAAATGCTTGACTAAGAGTAAGCCTTAGAGTGATGTTGGGTCTGGCCCTGCGGGATACGAAAAGTCAACTAGTTAAGTATCCAGATTTGGGATACTGGATTATCGGGAGGGATACCAAATTTTAAAACCTGTGGATACTTAAAAAAAATAATCAAATTTCAGACCCTGCATTGACCTCGCATACAGTATTTCTGAAGAATATTTAAACCCCTGGTACTTTTAGGTTTTACCTCGTTGACAAGGACAGTATCTCCGATGAACAAGGCATATTGTTTATCCTTCTTCGAGTCTTCACCTTTCTTTACCAACCCAGAGAAGCCAACACTCACACAAAAAACCATGCCTATAGAATATCACAATAATTAGCCTTTTCCAGTGATCACATAGATCACAGTGCATTCTGGGATCGTTTGGAGAGACAAAATATATGGTGGCAGGCGTCAAATATGTGAAAGAGTAGAAGTATCTAATATCAAAATCAACTTTTCAGACAACCAAAAAAATCTCCTTTTTACATTAAACATTTAATTTAAATGTGTGCTGCCATATTTCTTGTCCCTGCAACATGGGATTTGCGCGACTAGACGCAGAACTTTGGGAAATGGCTAATTCAGTCAACTGGGCTGTCGTTTAGGACCGATAGCCGGCCAAAACGACCGGTTACTTATTATCTGCAGCCACCTGCTGTCCCAACAAGTTTTACTGTATGTCAACAAAACTGAAGCAATAAACAGTAAAATACTTTCTTCTTTTTGTCTCCTCTTCTTCAAAATATCAAAATTGTAAACAAACGATTCAATTATTCTAAACTGGTCAGGCTTAAAAAAGTACCATTTTTGCGCATATATCGGACGTTTTGTAATCTTCAGAACTCTGAAAATCACCCCCCAAAATGCAGGAAATGGCATTACAAGTGCATACATGCACATGCACCTGTATACCACAATTTGTACTGTATATATAATACGAATACAACATATAGTTCACACCTTTTTGAGCTTTGTGATTTGACTTCGCATTGATCATCAGAGATCCTTCTCGAAATTCAATCCCCGTCGCAAATCTGGGAGAACGAAAAAAAATGAAGAACGCAAAAAATGATACCGATTTGAACAATGAACATACTGCATGTACTGCAATGACAGATCAAAACAGGGTTTAAAACAGTAGCGGACACTAGGGGGGCATAATTTTGAAAGACTAAAAATCTTGTACCAAATAACACAAATCACACTCATATAACGTAATTGTTATCATAATATAATATATGCTTCTGTACTGTACTGTACATGTCACAACATATGCATTTTATACACTCTTTTTGACTGATACAAGGGGGTAAATACTTTCTCGGAAATGTTGGTTTTCTATGCTTAGCATGTGATTTATAACAAAATGCACCATTAAAACAGTGTTTTGAAAATCTAGTTTTTTTACAAAATGTGTTCTCAGAATGCCGCAAATGCCATTTCCGGGATTCAAATTTTAAAATTTTCCTTTCAAAATTTTAAAAGTGTCCGCCACTGGTTTAAAATAGCAGCCGGGTGTCACTGGCATTTCACAGCTCTGGCCGACAACTTCTAAATTAGCAACAACGCGGAGTTTTTCCTCTTAATTCATTGATCTATACAATTAATGCATAAGTTTTAACAGCCTACAAATATATCTAAATTTAAATTATCCATTTTAAACCCGGCATAATGTAAATTGTTTGTGGCAAAAATTATGAAATTGAATTCCAAAAAGACAATAATTGGAACGTACCCAATACTTTTAACAAAATTTCCTTGTAGTTCGGGCTTCTTCTCCTTGACGTGATCTGCAGCCACATTATAGACATCAGATAATTTTACGCCATCTTTTAATTTCTCCACCACTGCATCAAGCGTTGACAGCAATATGTTGTAGTTCGCTTGTTGCTCCTAGAATCATAATTCAATAGTTTAATTCATGCTTTTGTAACTAGCAAATTACAGTAGATTACTAATGTAATGCCCTTCTCGATGGACTAAGTATCAGATTACAGGGCTCAAAATAACAGCCGGTCAACAGACAATGACCGGCCAAAAATACCTTTAGACTGATCATTACCTCACCGGTCATTTTGACCGGCCACATTTTCATGCCTTCCAATGTGATTGATGACGTCTTGAATTAAAACATGAAACTATGATGTATCGAAACAAGTTTCTTATAGTTTGTTTCACTGTTAATGTAAGTGTATCAATGACCGGTCAAAAACAGATTTGGACTGAGCTAAAATTAAGTTGACCGGTCATTTTACCTATCTCCCATTATTTTGAGCCCTGAATGATTAAGAGGCTACAACTAGTACAAAATACTGCTAGTATTGTAAAGCGCCGTGAACAATTAGTCTAACAATGCTATATACTTTGAATTTAATATTATTATTATTATTATTATTATAACATTGTCAATTGCATATCAAAATTCAGCATTTAACCTATTAGTGTGCAAGACCCTTCCCTTGACGAGTAAAATTGTATGTCGTCCTTATTCAATGAAATTAATAATAATTAACAATTATTCGCCAAAGGCGATGTGATTATCGGGGAATATTCCGAATTTACTTTAATTTCGAATTTATTTTAAATTTCTTTATCAGTAACTTCCACAAAATGGCTAGCCACCATTTTGAAAATTTCGTTTTTGTTATATTCACCTGTAGGTGAATATAACAGCTTAATACGTCAAATTTGATCAATCAATTTGTAGGATTTGTTATGTTCACTTGTGCAAAAATACTAATAATTATTATTATCATCAAAAGTTTGACTTCTGGAATGGGCTCATCGGTGAATAGGACCTGGTCAAATGGGGACGAGAATCAATGGGATCTTGCATTGTTATTGGGGGCATTTCAAGCCCTAGTTTAACAAAACAAAGATTTACTGTGTGGTCTTGACTCTTGGGAAAGCATTAAGAAAAGCTAAACAAGATCATGTGACTGCAAACTCTCATGCATTTTGATCATGCCTTGAGCACAAAGTATAACATAGTCAATTCGTGGACTGCACTACACAGCAGTCAAATTATGGCAGCCGGGCCTTTTTCAGGAGTTTTTGCTAGCTCTGTTCATTGACAGAAGATTGTGTTAACCTAAACAGGGTGAACCCACGAAAAGTCAAGGAATGTAGCTTTTTGGCACTGGCAACCCCCAATGATATACAAAAAATTGTGCGCACCTCTGTGGGTTGTACCAACATTGTTCTGATGATACTGCTGCAGTAATATCTGTAGCGCACACCAAACGTACATATGATCACACCATAGTCTAGTCGATCATCATTACTGCAAGAAATGAAGAACATTAAAATGTGCGAGAACACCAACAGGTCTCCCGAGGTCGGAGGTCTAACCTAAAATATCTTAATTACAGTATTAGGATAGTTCAGTCTCACGGTTTGTGGATACTGTAGTACACACGTAAAAAATTCACATCTTGTAGCAAGTCTGCTAACAAGTCCAGGTGATCTCGTGTTCGTATTTTAGCCAATCAGCGCTCAGAAAGGGTTGTCCGAATAGAAATCCATTTCGATGTATTCAGTCAATTATATCTTTTGTTATTCTTTATGAAACTAGTTGAAATTTTGTAATTATGTTTGGTTATGAGAATTATAGCTCTGACAAAAATATGGAATCGAAATAAAGTATATTACAGGAGATATTCAGTTGTTTTAATCATAAAATGGATTTCTATTTGACAACTAGTGCCAGTACTTTTCCGCGTATCAAGATCATCTGGGTTGTGTTCGCACTGCTTGTCCCAAATTGTGAACAAATTTGGAACAAGCTGTTAACAACTTGCAACAACCTTGTTGATATTATCAGACTTGTTGCAGGATTGTTCCAACAAGTCCGATACAGTCATGATATACAATATTGTTACAACTTTGTGTCGTCAACTTTGTAACACTCTTGTTATATCATGACTGTATCAAACTTGTCAGTCTTACAACCTTATAACAATTTTTTCTACAAACTTATATTCGGGACTCTTGTCAAACCGATGTGTACCATACCTCAGAGCCATGCATTGTCTAATTCACCTACAGTAGCTCCAATCTATAACCAAACCTCAAGCTATATGAGTAACTAACCTGGTAGCACTAAACTTCAGGCTATAATTTTCTCCACTTTGAATAATTGGACTGAAACACATCTCTGTCTGGTCTGAATCCATTCCGGCAAGAAGATATTTCTTCGAGTCCAGAGCAGCGTCTAGATTGTCCGCTATTTTTGAATGCTTCACACGCTGCATAAAAATTAAAAAAGATACAAATGTATATGGGGATATTGTAACAGGATAGAGTGATAGGTATTTAATGAACACTTAATGAGTGGAAGACTGCCAAGCATTGCCAGTCGAGGGGCCACAAAACCAGGGCTGTAACTACAGGGGGGGGGGGGGTGACGCCCCCAATGTTGTAATATCGGGGAATTTTAACAATTTTAAAGAAGCGCTCGTCAGACAAAAAATGTGTAATTCAGAATTTTTTTACATATTTGATTGAAAAGTAATAGTTGCAAAAAATTTTTTGATAAATTTACGAAAATATTACTGAAAAATTGTACAAACTACGATAGATTAGTTCGAAAGTTAGTGAAAAATAGTATGTCCGAAAATAAATTGTGCGTATGTCCGAAAATAAAATAGTACAGCTAATACTGAACTGAGAATCTTGCTTTCATAGTCCTCATTTTCAATAAGAAAATAATAAAGTTGACCCTCTGAATGGTCCAATTGAAACTATAATCTTTTACTTTTGTTCTTGAACTGTAAAGTTGGATTGAAGGCGCTTCATTTTTTTTATGACAGCAGGCAATCGTATTGCAAAATTTTTTTAAACCTTTTCCTGGTCCACAATCTCCATGATATGACCTTTAAAAAATTTGCTAAATATATCAGATGATACCAATGAAGCTTTCTGCAAGAAAGAAGAACAGTTCACTTTTAAAACTTTAGCCAGTTATTGACCGGTATCTGACTAGCTTTTATTAAAAAATATCCAGACAAGAAGACTTGAACCATAATGAAAAATATAAGAAAAAAACAACATAATGATCAAATCACAGAGTTCCCTTACTTTTATATGATTTACTTCTGAATCTTCTTTGGAAGCCATGGCATAAGCCACATGAGCACTTATATCAACCTGTAAGATATAACAAACAGGGTGTGATAATTCGAGATTTTCAGCAATATCTCGCTGGTACTCCCAATTATTATTGCAGCATACTTGAGCTGGTATAAACTGGGTAACAGGTTACCTTTCGAAATGAATTTTTCTTGAAATTGTCATTCCAACTATCGATGAACTCGTTATGGAAATTATCTTTTTGGAACACACCGACATTCTTGCCCTAGAATATGTTCAAATTAAGAATATGGTAAAACTTGGAAAAGTTTTGTAATACTATGAATCCAATAATAATTCATGACCAAAACACAAAGGAAATCGACAATGCATAAATAAGCTAATTCAGAGTCTCAGTTTGGAGTGCATTCAAATGTCACGTTCTCCATCGGGATAAATTGCTGTTGAATCATAACATGACGATGCACTGTAGCACTTTTTGATGTAGCACTTAGTTTCAATGTCACATATTTGTGATGAAAATGGTTCAAAATCTTTTTCGGCATACCTCTCAAAATAGCTTTGTTTTAGCTTTATTTTCTAGTTTCTACAGTTAGCTAACTTTTTAAATGCATTTGCTGGTTGAGAAACATAAATTTGGGCAATTTTTTTACTCCCCCTTGCATGGAAAGAATCAGCCCCATACACCTCTATAGACTCTGCTAACAAGTTTGAAGATAGATAGCATTCAGTACCTTCTTACTTCCTTTGATCACATCAATAAGTTTCTGAATATTAGTCTTATCTTTGTCACTCTACAAAAATACAATCATTTGGTACTCTTTCCTTGAAAAGAAATTCTACAGCACAAAAATTCACCACAAAAAAGTAGGATTAGTTTCTACTTTTCTGGCAGAATTTTTTGCTCACCACCATGTTCACAAAATCTGATTACCTCATGTGAACTGGAGGGGGCCTACAGATATTAACCGGATCTTTTAATGCAGGTATTTTGGTTGACCCATTAGAGACTCAAAGAAAATTTAGGGGATTAATGTACTATGACAAGAGGGTCACTAGGACTGAACAGTCTGTGCTGTAGTGTCAATAATAAAAAAGTTTTGGATTAATAGGGATACAACTTCGTTGGGAAGTTAGTCCTTACTCCTTAGTAAGACTGCATAATTTCCAAGGGTGGGGGGGGGGAGTGCACCCTTTCATCACCACCATAAATTGTAAACTAGGTTACCCACAGGGCAGTAATGCTGCCTTTGACAGCAAAAGACAAACTACAGGGTGTTGAACGAGTCCTTCAGAAACATCCTATTATTGTTATCCTAGCCTGCGTAGCGGCTCTCAGAGAAAGTAGACTTTTTGTTATCCTTGTTAACCCATTTATTGACAGCACGGCCCTACCACTGACTGAGTATTAAAAATCGTCTGGCGTTGGACAGGGTAAATACTAAAGTCATTACTGTGCTGATGGATTAACAAGAGCCATTGGCAGATAGGTTTGTTAACCCATTTACTGGCAGTACCCTGTACCACTGACGAGTAAAATTTTCTATCGCTGGACAAGGGACTGGCACATTGTCAGCTAATGGGTTAAACCACCGTGGTTAAACATAAGATTTGATGCTCCAGGAAATGTAAACAAACTATCAGTGTGACATCCCAGTTTATATATTTATATACTCGGAATATTGATTTCTCGGTAAATACAAAATTATTTTAAAGTATAACAACCAGCGAAGACGTAAGCCACTAACTACCCTGCGCGGCTGCGCGCAGACTATATAATGACATATATATGTTATCCGTCCGGTCCGTCTATCGCCATCCGTCCGTCCGTCATTCATTCATTCATCCGTCCGTCCGTATCCGCGTTTTATCCTAACTTGTTTTTAAAACACAAAAGTGCGGTTCGTCATGATCAACATTTTCAAAAGCGGCCAATTAGACCAGGGGTTAAAGGGCAATGACAATGACATGCAGGTGACATTTTAACATTGTTATATTGCATCTCACTAATTAAAATTTGCGTGTTTATAAATAATGTTTATCAAAGAAAGCAAAAATATATACAAGACAATCTCACATGTGAAATTTTTTCACTTACGTACTGCCTTGTGATGCAGTACAAGTATAAACACCAAATGACAAAGCATTTGTAAATCCTAAAACATAATTAAATCATACGGCACATTCAAGATTTTAATATCGTATTTCAGCCACGCGTTTATACTGCTTGGCGCATTCGCTGCGTTATATTTATTTATATACACAGAAAAGCATGTCATTGTCTTTGCGGACCATAGGCAAAAAGCATTCGTCAACCACATACCAAATTTAAGCAATCGTTAAATCATATACATGTCATGGAAAGAATATGAAAATAATGTTGAATGAAAGCTAGCATCGCGTATAATGTTAAAAGCACCGCATATAGTGCTCGAACCACGGCGTATAATTGCAAAAGCACCGCGTATATAAATGGTGAAAGCACCGCGTATAATGCTGGAACCACAGCGTATAATGCGGGAACCACCGCGTATAATGGCGAAAGCACCGCCGTATAATGCTAAAAGCACCGCCGTATAATGCTAAAAGCACCCAACAAAATGCCGTTTGATCACTTTAAGCCAGGTATGGCTTTCCATAAAAGAAGACCAAAGATGAAAGATGATCACATTGCCTGTTTGCCTTATGCTTGACCGCGCTGCACCACGGTTAAAATTCACTGGTACCGTCATGCAATGCGCCAAATAGAAAATTTTGATATCGACCCACAAAACAAAATTAGGATCTGCTGCCTTGCTCGCTCGCTTCAGGCTCGCTCGCTGCGGCAGCAATGAGACACCATAAAATTTTAGGGGCAGTGTAGCCCTATTTGAATTGGGGAAGGGTTAAATTTTGCAAAGTCATGGGGGTAGGGGGTGGTTAGTGCCTCAAAGTAAACATTTTTTCCAGACATTAGATTTTCCATTTTCTTTTGGGCTAACCATACCATTGTTCGTTTAATTTTCCTTAATGTTTTCGTGAATTTCCCTAAATTTTAGCTATATAAATTATTAGTTTTTAATCAGTGTCACTCCAATATTTTACTTTTTTTCCTTCCTATCCAATTCATGTCTTGCGGCCTACAAAAACAATTTGCCAAGTTCTGAGATTCAATAATTGGCCAACTATCTGACAACTGAGGGGTATTCAACCCATACCCCCTTTCTGACAATTACACCATCATGGATACATTTTACATCAAAGCTTATTCTGATACCTTATCTCTTAAATGCAAGTTAATTGTTGGAAATCCTTCATGTTTCTTTTGAGCTTCTTGTAAAGGTTTAAGGAAATCAATTTTCTTTTTACTTGCAAGGATATCAACAGACGATTCGGCAAGCACCAAGAGTGTGTCCGTAAGTTCATAGCCAAATAACCATTGCTAGAAAAAGAATTTACAATTTATTAACTTTGCTCCAGGCTGGGTAACCGCAAGAGCAGTTGCCAATTACTGTGGGAAACACGAATGAAAATTCATTCAGGCGGTGCCTGCAAAATGGCCCAGGCTGCCATTCCACTTCACCCTTACCTTTGTTGACACACACCAAAACATGGCCGGATGCCGAGGGGAGGTGTGCACCTCCCCTGAGAATTTTTGCACCTTCCTTGAAGTCATGCACCTCCCTTTGGGAAAGTTTCAATGATAGATCAAAGTGAAAATTTGATGGTTGCTTGGGGTCTGTACTTTGTAAGAAAGCTTTTGTGGTAAAATTGAAAGAGTGATAGCAATTCATCTCTGTGTCAAATACGTTTTCAATGCAATGTTTTGAAAGAAACTTTGTAACAATTATAATGAAGGGCAAATTTGGATGAGTCGTACAGTCATAGTTCATTGCGGTAGATATGTGCTGGTACATACGCAGTCACTACATGCATATGTCACGCCATTGACTTTGGTCCGTTCTACAGTAAGCCTAACTTTCCATGGGGTTTATGAGCTAAACGGCTAAACCTCCCCTAAATTTTTTTCCACCTCCCCCACTATTTCCACCAAAATCCAGCCTTGCAAGAAAACACTCAGAATGCTAAAGTTCAATACCATGGTTAAAAATGTAAACATGTCAGCCATATTTTCAAATATACTCTACTTTGCTACAGCAACTGTCCAGTGATGCATATGTAATAAAAAGATGACATCAGGCCTCGAAATAAATCTGGACGTTATACCGGTCATTATGACCGGTGGATCACTAAATTTACCGGTCACAGTGGAATTTATGCCGGTCATTGTCACTCCTTAGCTTCTTTTCCCCCTCATCTTTCGTGTGACTCGTAACTTTAGAAACAATTGTGCATTTTAATTGTATTTGTATACAAAGTAGAAGTATGCATGGTGATTATCAAAGCTGTAGTAGTAATTGCAGCGCATTTACACATGAATATTTTGTATTTGGACGCTGACAAACAGAGCAATTGTTTGCCATGCCTGTTTGTTAAGTCGTAAATGACAACTGTAATTTGAGTTGAGTTGCGAGCATGCTGCAAGGCTGCATTCCAGTTGCGCGTTCTGACGCACGTAAAAGTTGAAATCGCTTGACATCCTACTTATGAAATAACTAAATTTATAAAAGGACAGCATTCAGTTTTGTGTATGATTTAATGTGTATTTGTTAAGGTTATTTGCACTAATATGAAAGATTTAAACTTTTCTGTTGCACATGTGAAAAACGCGTAACTGGAAAACAGCCCTTAGGCACAATGCATGGTCAAAGCTTGCGGTATATCGTATCCGTACGGCAAAATGTGTCACTTCACCGCCCTTATCAGCCCGTGCCCTAGACGGACATACACTTCTTTGGAAACTTGGAAATCAACAATCTGCTCCATTTTTGAACATATGTTTTTATTAAAAAATTTACCGGTCACGCATGTCCGCCAGGCAACGATATTTGACGGTCAAACTGTGAAATTTTACCGCTCAGTGACCAGTGGCCGGCACTTATTTCGAGGCCTGGATGACATAAACTTTATAAACAAAAGATAATGTAACAACAGAATGGCGAACATGCAGATTCGGCCATCTCAAATAATGGTACTGTTGGGACAGTAGCGTTGCGGACTGAAAGAGCAGTCCCTCATGCACAACCCCATGGAAAACCTGCACCCCTCCTTGCAGATGAGGTACGATCCTTCCCTACCACAGTGGGCGAAAGGCAACATTGTAACCCCCGTAACAGGGCCCCATGTTACATACAAGTTCACAACCAACCATTACAATATTGGTTGGCTACCAATTTAATATGACTAGCACGTGGAGAAGCCATCAAAAATTATACTATTTTGCTTTGATAATTTATGTAACTACCAACAAAATGTACACTATAAAAGCAGCATATTCTTACACCAGCAAAATATAAACAAGCAATTTACTACATTGCGCATGAAAACGTCTATATGATCTAAATAATTCTCTATAATTTGCGAGACATATGCCCCGCAATATTTCACCCCGCAAAACAAGTAAACTCACATGAAGAGCCGTCGATTTGCTGTATATAACGTCGTCATCGTTTCCAACAGCAACTACGATCGAATCGACTTCGCTAAACGATGCCCCATTCTCCGACGACGAAGCCTTTGCGTATATAAAAAAAGAGAGATAATTCAAATAGGGTCAAACAGGTCGATGAAATTCGAAAAGAACAGCCCGTTTGTGGCAAAACAAACGGCGAAAACGAGCCCAATTCTTGGCTAGGCCTTTCAATTTACCTTCCAAGCGGTGTATATTTTCTTGGTCCGTCGAAAAAATGCCTCTTTGTCTAACGAAATCTTTGCAGAAGACATGACTCCTCTAAAATGTCGACGTGAAAGAAACGCTGCTCAAATTTTCCTCGCCTGCATATGGCGGGAAGTGAGGAGATTTTCGACAGGGGGTGTGGGCGCCCAACTTGGGAAGGGGTGAAGAAATAGCGGAAAAAAATTGAAGAGGTCCACTAAGCGGAATTTTGCGCGCGGAGCGGAATTTTTCTTTGTCTTGTGATTTCTCGGGTGGAACTAATTACAAAAGACAAAGAAAAATTCCGCTCCGCGCGCAAAATTCCGCCTAGTGGAAAACAGGCTTAAAAGCGGGCCCATAAACGCTCCCTTAAAGCCTGGTTCACATAAAATCGTTAAGCAGTCGCAGACAGTCGCAGACTGTCGCAGGCATGCGCCGAATTTTTATATGAACGATCTGCGACGGATCGGGAAAGTTGAACCCGATCCGTCGCCGATCCGGTCTCAGACAGTCTGCGCGAATCTGCATTTGTGTTCATATAAAAATTCGGCACATGTCTGCGACTGTCTGCGACTGCTTAACGATTTTATGTGAACCAGGCTTAACTTATAGAAGTTTGTATTACGAGCCTCTCTCATTTAATATATGGCCCCTCTATTTACCCAATCTTTATTACCCAAACCCGCTCCTCTCAATCGATTATTCAATCTTTAGTATCTTTTCCGTTCCTTTCCAAGTTAAATTCCAAAGAGCAGAAAATCGTGCGCTTTACAAAGATATTTTTAATTTCCGTATGCCAATATTTAATATAGTGTATGCACCCTTGTCAATATTTTACGCATCTTTGCGTTAGTCTAGGGCATTCAAATTTTAACAATACGTTATTTCAATGGTTCGGCGGGGTTTTTTTTGGGACACCCTGTAGAAATTATCCTATTGTTATAATTTGAACGTCTGAGCACTATGCTCAACACAAGAGAAGAGTGCGTAAACACAACTGAATTGAATTTTTAATTACCAAGCACATGAAACCTGTGCTTAACAACAGTAGCATAATTTTTATACAGTAGTGTCACTACTTTTTTGGGGGACCCCCGGGTGTATAAAAAACCGCAACCTCGGAATTTCCTAAGAAATTTACTTTGCAATTCTTGAGCATAAAAGATTTTAGGCCCCTGGGAATTGAAATCGAATTGCTATAAATATCTATTAGCCGAATAAATCATATTACTGTAACAGTACTGTACTTGTAAAATAAAAACTTTGATAAAGTGTCATTAAATAAATGCATAAATTTTGCTTATTTTATGCGGTCTGTGCACTCGCGTATGCAGTAATTTTGACAGTTGTGCTACTTTAAATTCCCAGGCACCTAAAATCTTTTGTCCTTAAAACAATGTCGATTTCTTGGGAAATTCCGAGCTTGCGTTTTTTTTTAACACCCTGTTTTATACTCAGGATTGCAAAGTGGATTTCTTAGGAAATTCCGAGGTTGCGTTTTTTTTTATAAAATAAATTAAATTATTATAATATACCAAGTGTCAAAAGTTCATGTTTTCTTGAACTGTCTCGGTGCCGGTGCAGGTAATGCCAATAATATAAACAAGCTTTCGTGGGTAGGAATGCTACTACCTGAAAAATATAAGGAGTCGAATGACAATTTTACATTAATTATGTGCTCAGTTCATATTAAAAATATATTTTCCTTTCCTTTCATTACAGCCATGGGCAAGACAGTGGACGAAATCCTTGAGCAAATCGGCCAGATGGGTCGTTTTCAAATCTCACGACTTTCCATGTTTTGTTTTCTTATGTCGCCAGCGATATTTCAGCTTCTAAACATGTACTATCTCGCCGCAGAAGCGCCGTGGCAGTGCGTGAAGAACAGTACAGAGTGTAAATTGAATGGAAGTTTTGTAGCTGGTGATTATGACTATGATTTTAGATGTAAGATTAACAGGAGTGAGTGGGAGTATGCGAGATACGAAGGGCCTCACGATTCTATTGTGAGCGAGGTAAGTTTGGATCGAATCTTCTTAGATTTTCTCTCGTATGTCTTCTTATCAGTAAGAGACAACTTTTTTCAATGTTGTATATTGGCCGATGAAAAGTATTCTAAACCAAAAATCTTTTTGGCGTTCTTCTCAAAATTACTTTGTTTTCGCTTTATTTTGTAGTTTATACAGTTAGCAACCTTTTTAATTAACTGGATCTGGCGGTTGAGAATTGAATTGGATTGGGTTGTGGCTAAAGGGGGTGGGCTAAAGGCATGTTTTCAAGATGGCTGCCAGTTTTTAAGATCATTAAAACGTAAACAACCGGCCACTTGTAACAATACTAAACCTTACCCTCACGGCACACCTAACCCTAATTCTAACCCCCATGCACACTAACCCTAATACTAACGCAAACTCTTATTTCAATTTTGGAACCATCTCGTTAACAGTAAACTACTTCTCGGCCATCCCTTTTGGACATTACCATCTCAAACTCATCATTAATAATTCATGAGTAAATTAGCCAACCATACTACTTTATTTTGCTCACATGATAATACTGGATATCTGGTGAAGTCACATGATAATACTGGATATCTGGTGAAGTTAATTCAGTCCTTGGACTGGATCAAAATGAATTCACCTCACTTTAAATGGTGATTTATTCGTATGAGATGTCATTTCAAATACGACTATGAAGATTGGACAAGATTTCAAGTCTTCACATTTTATGATAGATAGATAGATACTATATTTGAACTTCCATGGCAGCATACACTGAATTGCAGAAGTTTTACATTCTGATTAGATAGATCAACTAGACTGACGTGAAGCAGACCGAGATAGACTTTGAGCTTACAAATAGCGCTTGAGCAGCCGCTGTTAGTCCATACCTCATTAATGATCTTCCCCCAGACCTTATGTGCCTAACCCACCCTGTCAACTTTCCCTGTCGGAGGAAACACGGAGTACCCGGAGAAAACCCACGACTTTCGGCAGAGCGTTGACTTACTCTTTTCACATTAGGACTGGATTCCAGTCACAATGAGAAGTTCTCATTGAGATTCGAACCTGCGGCCTTAGAGGTGAAAGGCAAGTGCGCTAACCACTTCGCCACCGAAGCTTTTAGTCGGCTTCGCCTCGATCTTGATCAAATTACGCGGACTTGAAATCTAGTCCAGGCCTCATAGTTGGATTTGAAATATTACATAAAGATTGTATAATTATCATTGATGCTGCAGAATTGACGACATGCTTTTATACAGCAATATAGGCAAAACTTACTGAACTTCAGATATTATTTTCTCTTTACCATCTAAAATATCTTCATTTTGGGATAATTTTAGAGATTAAGCACTAAACATACTTTTTGAGTTTGTTTCCCTCTTGAAAAACGTATTAAAAATTTTAAAAATTGAATATAGCCATAAGCAAGTTGAAATTCAAATTTCCGATTGGAGGTAGTGTTCGCTAGTTATATTGAGTTCACTGATTCTTCCTATTTGGAAGGAAATAAAACTGCCTTTGCCTTCCCCCCGTGAAAATTCTTTAAAAAGGCACTGATTTTCTAAAATATTCATTTTATGTAGTTCGACCTGGTATGTGACCAGGCTGCCTATGGTTCGTTGGCCATATCTATTAGTGCTATAGGCGAGGCAATATTTAGCATTCCTCTTGGTTTATTATCAGATCGCTATGGCCGCCTATGGACTCTCTATCCATGCCTTTTTATTATGATAACTGTGGGATTCGCATCTGCCTTCGCGACAAAATATTGGCATTATCTTGTTTCAAGATTGTTTAGCGGTGCTGTTATGTTCGGAGTATTATATTCGATTTCCAGTTTATCAGGAGAGTTCGTGGGTCCACGCTATAGGCCGCTTTCACAGATCGTTACGTGGACAGCTGCTACATTTGAGCTATTGATCTTGACATTGATGGCGTATTTTGTCAGAACGTGGAGAACTTTGACGATATTGTGTACCGCACCTTGGATAGTTGGCTTGGTTTTTGCGAAGTTAGTTTCATTACATTGTTAGATTTAGTTTTGATGGTAGTGATGAAAATGGTGATGTGATGGTGGTCGTATTGGTGACGGTAATGTGCGTGATGGTGGCAATATGATAATGGTGATGTGATGATGATAATGGTGACAATGATGATGGTGATAATGATAATGGTGATTATAATAATGGTGATGATAATGATAATGATGATAATGATGATAATGGTGATGATGATAATGTTGATAATGGTATTGAGATGGCGATATAGAGAATAATACATGGGTGCGCGGAAATACCAGATTTATTGTTCAACACGAGAAATAAATCTGGTATTTCCAAGCACCCATGTATTTTTCTGTTTATTATATAAACAAAATTCAGTGAAAAACCATAAAACGTCCGTGGCAATGCGTTTTACAACAAATGATATTTTCACACGTAAAAATATCGTATTTTTTACGTGTGTTTAAATACGATTTTTCTTAGTGGCCAAAAACTCTGATGATGTGATGATAATAGTAATAATGATGATCATAATGATAATGGTGATAATCAGTGATAATGATGATGATGATAATGATAATGATGATAATGATAATGGTGATAATTAATGATGATGGTGATGATAATGATGATAATGGTGATGATGATAATGGTTGTGGTAGAGACGGTAATGGTGTGATGGAGTAGTTTGTCAGAACAGGGAGAACTCTGGTGACATTGTACCACACCATAAATATTTGTTTAGTTTTTGAACGTTAATAGTAGATTCTGCCACTCATGCTATTTTTTATTGCTTGATATTTTCGTTGGGTTTAGATTCACGCAGGAATCAAGTCGTTGGTACCTGACGCATGATAAAGCCGATAAAGCCGAGAAAAACCTACGAGAGATTGCTAAAGTAAATAGGAAAAAATACCCTGACGAAAAATTAAAAATACCAGAAGTTTCACAAGAGAGTCGATTCAATTGTCTGGCTTTATTCTCATCGTTGACTTTGGTCATTTCTATCCTGATTCAAGCTTTTGTATGGTAAGCGAAAAAGGAACAACAACTGAATCTAACAACAACAAAAGCAGCAGCAACAACTACAACACCAGCAACAGCAACAACAGCAACAACAGAAACAATAACAATAGCAGCAGCACCACGAAGAACAGCAACAACAACAACAACAGCAACAGCAACAGCAGCAACAACAACAACAACAACAACAACAACAACAACAACAACAACAACAACAACAACAACAACAACAACAACAACAACAACAACAACAACAACAACAGCAACCTCACTGACAGCAACAGCAACAACAACAATCACACTTACGTACCTATTTTTAAAACCCTTAAGGTTTGTCAATGCTATGGTATACTATGGTGCATCTTATGGTGCTAGTGATTTTGGTGGTAACATGTATTTCAATTTTGCTCTCACAAGTTTGATCGAAATTCCTGCAAATTTTTTCGCTATCGACAACTGTGAAAGGTAAGCTTATGTATTTTCTAATTTCTAATGCATTTTCTTTATTACTAAAAGATATGGTCAAAGTAATTCCATTATTTAAACGGGGTGAACGCTCAGACCTAAATAACTATCGTCCTATTTCTATAATACCAGCAGTCGCGAAAGTATTCGAGAGAATCGTTTACGATCAGCTATACGAGTATTTTACTGATAATAACCTGACATCTAGTCATCAATCTGGCTTTAGAATCCTGCATTCTACTGTTACTGCATTGCTCGACGCCACAGATAACTGGGCTTACAACGTTGACCAAGGTGATGTAAACGCAGTTGTGTTCTTAGATCTCAAAAAAGCATTTGACACTGTCGATCACAATATTCTACTGTCCAAACTAAAAAAATATGGCGTCGGTCTGGCATAGCATACGATTGGTTTCAACACTGTTTCGTAAATGGTTCTCTCTCGCATAATCGGCCTTTAACCTGTGGAATTCCTCAGGGAACAATATTGGGTCCGCTTCTTTTTATCATTTATATAAACGATCTGCATAACTGTCTCCAACATTCACAACCACGAATGTTCGCTGATGATACGCACTTGCATGTCCTTTGCCAACAACAGCATTGAAAATATTGACCTCAAACTGAATGAGGACCTCGCTAGAGTTAATCAGTGGCTCACTGCTAACAAACTAACTCTAAATACATCTAAAACTGAATTCATGCTGATTGGGTCCAGGCAAAGGTTGAGGATGCTTCAGGGTTCTCCGTCGCTAATGATTGGCGAGAAACCTATAAAGCAGGTAAATTACACAAAATCTCTAGGTGTCTTTATCGATCATAATCTCTCATGGAATATTCATATAGAGAAATTGTGTAAGAAAATTGCAAGCGGCATCGGAGAATTGAAGCGAACTAGACCCTTTGTTCTTTACCATACTCTGCTATCTATTTTTAACTCTTTAGTGCAGCCATACTTCGATTATTGCAGTGTAGTTTGGGGAAATTGCAGCAAAACTTTTTCCACCAAACTTCAGAAACTCCAAAATCGTGCTGCTCGTATAATAACTTACTCAAGCTTCCAAGTAAATGCTGATTTACTTTATATCGATAGACTAGGGTGGAAAAAACTTGATTCCCAACGTCAAATCCATAGGGCCACCATGGTCTATAAATCGCTCATGAATGGCCTTGCTCCCCATTATCTACGAGAAAAATTTGTTGAGCGAAATACTTTTACAGATTACTCGTTAAGAGACTCCGAAGGTAAACTAGCTATTCCTCTGCCCCATACAAATTTTATGAAAAACAGTTTTAGTTATTCGGGAGCAGTACTCTGGAATACCTTACCTGTTGAACTGCGGCAGGCCAGTCAGTCCCTCTTTCGGTCTGGCAGCAAGAATTGCTCTCAATTGTTCATTCCTAACTAATTTGGATTCATACGGAACTCATGAAAAGCAGATTTGTTCTTAATTGTTTGTACCTATCTTGTATAAAATATAGTAATAATAGTGTAACCTTGTAACATACTGTAGTACGTGTGATAATAGTTTATATTTTAATGTTCTGATGAACCCATCGTGTTTAAATAAAGTTATTATTATTATTATCTTATGCTGCACCGAAATTATGGAACTCGCTTCCTGATTATATTCGTCACAGCGATTCGCTGATTAGTTTTAAAGCTAACGTTAAGACCTATCTTTTTGGGCAGTTTTACGATTAGCTAACCTTACCTAAGGAAGTGCGAAACAGTTTTTATTACTTATACAGATTTGTTATTCATTTTATTATAAATAGTACTACACCTCCTATAACATATTGACTTGCAATTTTTCCATTCGCTGTAACAATTTCCTATAGTTAGTAGTTTTATTGTAACTTGAATGTTCAGCGCTATTGAACTATAGGAAATAGCGCTATAGAAATGTATGATATTATTATTATTATTATTATTATAGTACATGCATAAATTTTCTTTGACAATGGCAGGGGGTAGCACCGAAGAAAAATGTTTTTTCCTTGCTGATCCAACCATTAAAAGGTCAAATTATTTTAACCCAATCTCACTATTAAGAAATAAAAATACCCACCCCTGGTCAAAAACGTTACAAAAGGATACCCTTCAGTTGTCACACATGTCCTTTACCACTTTTGTGACATGAGTTTGATAACTGCTTGTGCAATTCGGCTAAAGTTTCAAGTTGTCTGCGCATGTACTTTCTTTGGCCTTTCTTTGGAGACACCATTTGCCTCTTGACGTGAATCGGAAAATTATCAAGATAGTGACTTTGATTTATTTACGTATTGTATTGACATATGACTGTTGAGATTGCTTTTTAGTCTTCAATAGTTGAGTGAATCATGCTTTGAAAATGACAATATTTTTTTATTACCCAACCAATGAGTTGTTTGTTTTTCATTTATCCAACCTTTTTACTCACTCAAAACGTTGTTTACCCAACCCTTTTTTCTTCAGTTCCACTCCCCCCGCCGCCAAAAATAATGACCGGTCCTTCATGTTAATACGTGGGTTGAACGTATGTAACTGTACACGCCTCAGTAAGAGGTTTTGTTCCCCTAAGTTGCTTGCGCTCTCACATAGCACAGCCATTTTTGTGAATGCACCCTTTATACTTGGCATTTCTCATGGTTGTTGTATAAGAACACTAATATACCTACCTTTGGTTCTTTGGTTCATTTTAGGATTGGTCGTAAGAAAACTCTGATTACATACATGATCCTTGGTGGAATTGCGTGCGTTGTTGTTTCGCTCATTCCTGCTGGTACTGAAAGAACAGGTATATGCATATCTCCGCCAGCGGATAAAATTATACAATGGGCTAATGGACAACTTGCATACTAAATTTTAGTCATAGGAAAGAGAAGGGAATCAAACACCACAGCTAAAAAGAACATAAATTAGTAAAATTGCAAAATTTGGTTGCGAAATTTTGTAAAGCTTGGAAAATATAGTCTAGCAAATTAAGTTTGCAAATTTTGTATATGTTTGTATTACGTGCGGAAATTGTTACCATTTTCGGCTCAAAAATGGTAACAATTTCCGCACGTAATATACAAGCATCAATACAAAATATGCAAACTTCGCAAGGCTATATTTAAGCTTTACAATATTTCCTTATCAAATTTTGCAATTTTACTAATTTTAATAAGTTCTTTAGGCTTTACGGGAATTTACTTTTTTTTGCCTATAGATCAAAAATTAGTCTAACATGCAAGTTGTCTATTATGCATGAAGTTACTTGTTTGCCATTTGATAACGTATTGTTCTTGGGTTCGCAGTAATTGCATGGCTAATCGCTGTTGCGAATATCCTGCCATAGTTCATTAATGTACATGAAAAAAATTCTCTATTATGATTGCTGAGAACAGCGCAATTTAATCGAAATACATTTCTTCTCCAGATTTTATTGTTGGACGTGTTATCGGTGGTATGCTAGGCAAAGGTTTCATTACAGTCTCCTACGACGCTGTAATCGTTTGGTCAACCGAGCTTTTCCCAACCATTGTCAGGTAATCCTACCAGAGTACATATATGTTATTTACCGGCTGCAAGGTCTGGGAACCTAAGAACCCAACTAGGTGATGATTGCACTTTTCGACAGAACTTTTCGGGGAACTGGGGTCCTTATCCAGATACTTTCGCCTCCAGAGGTTGATTTCTTGCATCTTGAGTTTCACAAATATACTATTTATTTTACATTTTCCAGGAACAGTGGCATAGCAATAGTGTATGTCGCAGCCTGCCTTGGATCTGCGGCTGCACCCTTTGTTTTGGAGCTGGACAGAATTAATCCAATATTACCATTTGGTCTCATGGGAGGTTTGGCTATCGTCGCTGCCTTGTTGGGTTTGCTTTTACCCGAGACCAGAGGAAGGCCAACTGCCGAAGTTTTCGAAAGCAAAAACAGCGGTATACAATCTCATATAAAATTCAAATTCGAATTGTCCAATTATATGCATCATCAATCTCAAAGTGCGACTAACCACTAATGTGATTTTTGGTATGTGTAATATTTGGGTCATTTGAAGCAGAAATGTTATTTATCTTTATAATAAAAAATCCCATCTTGATCAACTTTTTCAGTCAAAGTTTGCGGATATGATGTCATTAGGTGAATTGCAAATTAGTTTTCCTTTGTTTTTTTTGTACCAAAATTAAATTCACCTAATGACATCATATCCGGAAACTTTGACAGTGAAAAAGTTGATCAAGATGAGGTTTTTTACTCTAAAGATACATTACATTTCTTCTCAGAATGAACCAAATATTACACATGCCAAAAATTATATTTGGGGTTAGTCGCACTTTAGAAGCAAACTTACCTTAGGTTTTACGATTTCCAGCAACTTTTGTTGCCTCTGATCTTTTGTTATGAAGCAAAAACAAATAAACTGTCTGGCTGCTCGTCCAATTTAACGACATTTTCGGGTTTCTCGATGATATATTCCACTGATCCACTCCTGAAATTCTCCATGCTTTTGAGGTCAGCGGAAAGTCCACCATGAAACATAGTCATAGGAGATCTAGATATTGCCTCGTACCCAGGCGCTTTAGTCTGGGTCAGCTATCTAGATCTCCAATATCTATGCCATGAAACATGGTGATGCGCCCACGATCATTGATGAACTATAGACTTCGTTAATGCTTTCCTTTTTCCGAGTTTAAATATAGGCGAGCGAAATTAGTACTCTCACCCTGTGCTTAAGGCCACTCATCATCTCCACTAGATGATATTTTGAGACGATTTTTATGACGATCGTCATAAAAATTCGCGACGATTTAGAGAGAGTTGGAGATGTACTAACAGCAAAGCGAGGAATCTTATTGGTTAAAAATTTGGCGATCGTCTAGCGCTCGACCACGAAAAGTAGAAGTCAATCCAACTTTTCGTCGAGCGCTAAACGATAGCTCTTCGAACATTTTTTTTCAATAGCGTGTGTGTCGTCGCGAACTGTTCAATCTCGTAACGAGATTACGAAGTGTAGTTTGACCGGATCGTCTCAAAAATCGTCTAGTGAAGATCCGCCTTATGCCTAGAACGGCCGTTGGCTCGGGGATTATACAATGGGCTAAATATAGGCATTCAGTCTACTCTGCCCGCCAAAGCAAGACATTAATAAATTAAAACTAAACTGGACCGATAAACTGTGCAGCATTGCACATATACAGATAATTATTATGCAGTATTGCATATGAATATATTGAGAAAGTTAATTTGCCAAACTTGTTTGCTTTGCTTTTAATTTCAGAAAAAGCTACAGAAATGAATAATTTAAAAGGAAATATTGAAGATCAGAACGAAAAAGATCTCCTGATGATTTGAAGTGACATATGCGCTAACAAGCAGAACCTTACTGCGTATAACAAGGAATAAGAAATCGTAGAGTAATTTTCTTAATTAACCAAATATATATAGCCTCATAGCGAGCAACTTTGAAAATTAGAAATTTGGATAATGATAAAGTCGTTATATTTTGTAAAATCAAAACTAAAATAAAAAAAATCAGTTATAAAATTACTTAAAAGAACAAGAAAGTCTATTACAGAGGCCCACCAAGGGTGTAACCCACTAAACCCAGTCGCTTGTCACTCATTTTGTAGCTGCTTTGTCGCTTGTTTTATTGTAATAAATGTCGCTGTCACTTTTGAACCATAACACAAATCGCAATTTGTCGCTTTTTCCCAGTCAGAAGCTGTCGTTTGTCGCTCTTTTTTAGATAGTCTGTCGCCCTGTTTTTAAGGAATGTCGCCTGTTGGTCATGCATAACCCCTTGGTGGGCCTCATTACAATTATTGCACTTCAAGTGAATTTGTAACATTGTGTTTAAATTTCCGTGGTAAAATTATCTGGCAACCGCCTCCCCAATTCCAGGTATTTTCACGTCCCTGTATAGTCACCCAAAAAAGGGGCAATTTTTCAACATATTGTTAACACCATGCACTATCTCGAATAGCTTTCTAAATGTAGGTGTAGGAGTTTTTCATGAGCAGTCGATCTCTCTGATTATCTGATATACAAATTCGAGCCGAAGGTGAGATTTTGTATATCAGATAAAGATCGGGTGCGAATATTTTAACGTATTTAAAAAACGACCCATCTTATGAGTTCATTGGCGAAGTAGGCCTAATTTTAAAAATTAACATTGGCTAAGCCGAGAAAATCAAAACTGACGTTTATGTAAATCAGGGCAAATCTTTATCCGATTTACAAACATTGATTAAAACATTCATTTCTTTTGAATTTTCTTCGTGAATTATTATAAGGAGTATCAGCTTAAGTGTTATTAAAGTTGAAGACGAAGTATGTATAACTTCTTCGTATTTGCATTATGGGTAAATTTAACCTTTGTATAGTATAAATCCTGGAAATTTAAGAAAATTCGAATATAAGATTGTGAGCAAGATGAAAGTTTGTATGTACTACTTAAAGCACGCGTATATAGGAGTGTTTTATCAGATATAAAACGCGAGGAGCAGCCGAGCGTTTTATATCTGATAAAACACGACTACAAGTGCTTTAAATGGCTTAAAAAACGACCCATCTTCTGATGAGTACAATTAGCGAAGTAATTTTTAAAATAAACTTTGTCAAAACCGAGAAAATCAAAGCTAAAGTTTATGTAAATTAACACGATTTTTTATCACATATAAAGATACGACATGCTTATGATTTTTCTTTTTGTTTTGCTGTTGAATTATTGAGTTTTTTAAGTACTGTTTAATAAACGAGCAGGAGTGTTTTATTAGGTTTAGACCTAATAAAATACGACCTGCGAGTTCATTAAACGGCTTCAAACACGACTACAAATTCAATAGATATACTGCCTTATTAGTATTCTTTATATAAAGAATACTAATGAGGACACGACTACAATAGATACTGCCTTATTAGTATTCTTTATATAAAGAATACTAATTAGGAGTGTTTTATCAGGTTTAAAGCCACTGCATGTGACATATTATGGTAGACATGATTTGCCAATAAGCTTATGAATTATTAATGTGGATATGCTATATACAAATCTAACGCGAACCTATACTTGCTGGCTACGCCCCAGCAACTAATAACGATAAAAATGTCGTTTTCGAATTGACTTTTTTTTCGATCAAAATTTCGTCGCTATCCGACTACCTTAATTTTTATTGTTTCATATTTTTATATTACAATACATAAACTATATATCACTACATTACACTGTGTGACTGCCACCGACTTATACGAACAGATTTTGTAATTGGTTGATTACATGCATGCAACAATGGATTGAGGAATACAATTTCTAAAGAACAAATAAGAAACACTGAATGATCACTTTTGGTTGTCTGATGACTTTTGTTTTTAAGCAAGCTAATCAAAAACATGTTCATGTTGGGTTGGTATTTACCTTACCGTTCTATGTGCTAGAATATAATTCATAAAATTCACGCACCCAGCCCCAGCGCTGCGCGAATTCTAATTCTAATCAGTACTGCGCGAATTCTAATCAGTACTGCGCGAATTCTAATCAGTACTGCGCCAATTCTAATCGGGTGTTTGGGTATCAATTTCCCGTTTGTAATCTAAAATGACTGAAAATTGCAAACTTCACAAGGCTATATTATCCGCATTTTACAACATTTCGCAACGAAACTTCGGAATATTACTAATTTTGTGATGCTCTTTCAAGCTGTGATGGAATTTTTGTCTAGACTTGTCTAGATCAAAATTTTAGTTATAAGGTTAAAGGTCCATTTAGATACAACATCATTGACATTGTCATTGATGCTGTAAATTGACGCCATGCCTATTTATACAGTAAGCTTCAGTAAGCAAAACTTACTGAACTTCAGACATTATTTTCTCTCTATAACTACCATCTAAAATCTTTTCATTTTAGCATAATTTCACAGATAAAGTACTTTTTAAGTTTGTTTATCGCTTGTGAAACGTATCAAAAAAGTTTAAAAATTGAATCAATAGTCATAACGAAGTTGAAATTCAAACTTCTACGTCGGAGGTAGTGTTCTAGTTATATTAAGTTCACTGATTTTTCCTATTTGGAAGAAAACAAATTGCCTTTGCCTCCCCCCACCACCGTGAAAATTCCTTAAAAAGGCATTGATTTTCTAAAATATTCATTTTATGTAGTTCGACCTAGTATGTGACCAGGCTGCCTATGGTTCGTTGGCCATTTCTATTGGTTCTATAGAAGAGGCAATAGTTAGCATTCCTCTTGGTTTGTTATCAGATCGCTATGGTCGCCTATGGACTCTCTATCCATGCTTTTTTATTATGATAACTGTGGGATTCGCATCTGCCTTCGCGACAAAATATTGGCATTTTCTTGTTTCAAGATTGTTTAGCGGTGGTGTTATGTTCGGAGTAACATATTCGATTTCCAGTTTATCAGGAGAGTTCGTGGGTCCACGTTATAGGCCGCTTTCACAGATCGTCACGTGGGCAGCTGCTACATTTGAGCTATTGATCTTGACATTGATGGCGTATTTTGTCCGAACGTGGAGAACTTTGACGATATTGTGTACCGCACCTTGGATAGTTGGCTTGGTTTTTGCGAAGTTAGTTTCATTACATTGCTGGATTTTGTTTTGGGGATAGTGGTGGTGAAAATGGTGATGGTGGTAGTATTGGTGGCATGATAGGGGGGGGGGGGGGCAAAAATAAAAATCGAGCAAGGGAAACAGAAAGGAAAAAAATTCGTGCACCTAAAAAGCTTGAAAAAAAAATTCGTGCAGAGACTTTTCAATAGGGAAAATTATAAGTAGAAATAAAAAAAATCGTGCAAGGGATTATATTTAAAAAAATTATCGACACAAGCAAAAAATTTAAAAAAAGTATTCGTACAAGTTGAAAAAGTTCCCCTCATCACTTTTCTAATGGTCCGCCCCTAATGTGATGGTGATAGTGATGATGATAATGGTGATAATGATAATGGTGATGATAATGGTGATGAGGATTATAATGGTGATGATCATAATGGTGATGATGATAATGGTGATGGCGATAATAATGGTGATATATAAAGATAATGGTGATGATGATAATGATGATGATGATAATGGTGGTGATTATGATAATGGTGATGATGATTATGGTTGTGGTAGAGATGGTGATGGTGTGATGGAGTATTTTGTCAGAACGGGGAGAACTCTGGTGACATTGGGTACCACACCATAAATATTTGTGTTTGGTTTTTAACGTTAGTACGGCGCGCACGTTGCCAATCTAGATTCTGCCATCATGCTCGGTTGTCGAATGAAACACTAATTGTGATTTTAATATTTTTGTTGGGTTAGATTCACGCAGGAATCAAGCCGTTGGTACCTGACGCATGATAAAGCCGATAAAGCCGAGAAAAACCTACGAGAGATTGCTAAAGTAAATAGGAAAGAATACCCGGAAGAAAAGTTAAAAATACCAGAAGTTTCACAAGAGAGTCGATTCAATTGTCTGGCTTTATTCTCATCGTTGACTTTGGTCATTTCTATCCTGATTCAAGCTTTTGTATGGTAAGCGAAAAAGGAACAATGACAACAACTGAATCTAATTTAGCAACAACAAAAGCAGCAGCAACAGCAGCAGCAACAACAGCAGCAGCAATAACAATAGCAGCAACAACAACAACAACAGCAGCAACAACAACAACAACAACAACAAAAATC